CGTCTATCTGTATAATTGTTATATATATTTTCTTCTAATATTTATGTTACGCGGAATGATTTGTCGCAATTGTTACTAGATACTGGAAAAGAAAAAGTACGGACGGATTTCGAATCTCATTTCGGGTCAATTAATATTATACAGGGCACAATTTTTATCGAACTTCGATCGACAACTTGTAGTCTGTTTTAAAGGCTATGTTATCATCTATTGATGTAAGTTTCACATTAAAAAGCAATTCCTATTGATTCCGACTGTGTCATCCATTTTACTCTTTCGTTTTTCATCTTTTCTTTTTTTCCTGTTCTCTATCTTTTTCAATTCTCATTTTCACTTTACATTTAAGACCTTCATGAAATCCGTATCTGTAGCTCGAATACCATACAGTATTAGTGGTTGTTACCACATTTGAACGTTAATCGGTATCGATTAGATCAGTTCGTTACAAGGAAAAAAAGTCACTTGGAATTTTCGATTGATTGGCACTTCTCTTTGAACGAGGAACTTTACTGCCTTTACATTGCGTAAATGAAGCTGCAGAATATTTTCAACCGACGAAAGATATTTACTGATTTCAAGAAGAACGTACTATATATATATATCTATATATATATATATATGTGTGTGTGTGTGTTTTATTAAACTACGTGTCCTTAATTCTTAATGATGTAAGATTTCACGAATGAACACCACAAGCTTCATAAAGTTTTTTGCGTGTGAAATATTCATAGCAAGGCTTCGTTACGAGTAATACTTAATGACACGAGTAAATTCTTGTAAAAAAAGTTGTTTCAAAGAGATGAGATGTTTTAGAACTTAGCGCCTGGATGTCCGATTAACGTGAATTGGCATTGTTCTGTGCATTCGATGTGGTAAACCTCAGCCTAAACTATCTTTCTATCGCGAAAAGAAAATTGACGTAAAATAGATCGACTGAGTGTTTCTATCATGCACTTGAATTTTACACGTTTCTAGAATTAAAAAAAAAACTGGATACAAAAGAAAAAGCTCTCTCTCTCTCTCTCTCTCTCT